AGTAGTAGTAGTAGTAGTAGTAGTAGTAGTGGTGGTAGTAGTAGTAATAGAAGTAGTAGTAATAGTAGTAGTAGTAAAAGTAGTAAACCTAGTAGTAATAAGAGAAGTAGTTGTAGTAATAGTACTATTCATGGTAATAGTCGTAGTAGTAGTACTACTGGTCGTATAAATGATGAGATACAAATGGTAGTCGCAATACGAATAGCAATGGTGGTCATAGCGAAGGTACTGGTAGTAGTAGTAGTAGTAGTAGTAGTAGAAGTAGCAGTAGCGATAGTAGTAGTAGGAGTAGTAGTAGTAGTAGTAGTAGTACTCGCCGTAATAATAATAGTAATAGTAGTAGTAGTAGTAGTAGTAGTAGTAGTAGTAGTAGTAGTAGTAGTAGTAGTAGTAGTAGTAGTAATAGTAGTAGTAGTAGTAGTAGTAGTCGTAGTAGTAGTAGCGGTAATAGTAGTAGTCGTAGTAATAGTAGTAGTAGTAGTCGTCGTCGTCGTCGTCGTCGTCGTCGTCGTCGTCTCGTCGTCGTCGTCGTCGTCGTCGTCGTCGTAATAGTAGTAGTAGTAGTGGTAGTAGTAGTAGTACTGGTGATAGTTGCAGTAATCGTCGCCGTCGTCGTAATAATAATCGCACGGTTGAGATTCATATCCGGGCGGGGGCTGACCGTCACTTCTGGGCCATTTCTTTGCCCATTGGGTATATCAAGGTGGTGTCAGGCCGGAGCGTAGTTTTACCGTCACCTCCAGGCGGGGCTGTTTGCGGGGGTCGGAACAGCGTTCCCGCTGCGGTGTTCCTCATATTGCCCCCAAGAGCCCGTTCTGAGTCCTTCAGACACCCTGAAGGATCCTGCGGAACCCTCAAGATTCCAAAGGAGCCTGGTGGGGAATACGGATGAATTGCGCGGATGTTTAAGGACCCCAGAGAAACGCGAAAAAACCCAGAAGCTTTGGGAATTCGAGAGAACCTAATGAAGAATGAAAATTCCAGGGGCATCCCCAGGAATCCAGCGGGTTTCCATTGAACCAAGACACATCCAGAAGAATATTGAAGAAACCTTCAGAAACCTTGAGAATCTGGAGAAAGCCGTGCGGATCATGGAAGTATGCCAGGGGCGCTCCTGAAGAGCTTCCGGGGGAGATTATGAAAGAGAGCCTCTGAAAGATCCGGGCGATTGACCCAGCCATATGTAGTTGTGAGAAACGCGTTGTGGGTGCCGTTTCCGGTGGGCCACGCAACGCGTGATGGTGCGTGCCGTAAAGGGTGGGGGGGGCGCATGCGGGCGGTCCCACTGGGGCCTTCGGTGGAGGTCCATATGGGGCCACGAAGCGCTGTATTGGGCTGTGGGGACGCATGCGTGCGGTACCACGGACGACTTCGGTGGAGCCCCCATGTGGGGCCACGAAACGCTGTACTGAGCGTGGCGGACGCATGCGGGCACCCCCACTGGGACCTTCGCTGGAGCCCTCTATGTGACCACGAAGCTCTGTACTGGGCGGGGGGGGCGCAGCGGTGCCACTGGGGCCTTCGGTGGAACTCCCTATGGGGCCGCGAAGCGCTACATTGGGTGGGGGGGACGCATGCGGGCACCCCCACTGGGACCTTCAGTGGAACACCTTATGGGGCCACGCAGCGCTGTACTGGGTGTGGCGGACGCATGCGGGCGGTCCACATGTGGATTTCGCTGGGGCCCCCCATGGGGCCACCAAGCGTTGTACTGGTTGTGGCGGGCGCATGCGAAAGATCCAACTGGGACCTTAGGTGCAGCTCCCTGTGGGGCCACGCAGCGCTGCTTTGGGTGTGGCGGACGCATTTCGGCACCCCCACCGAGGCCTTCGGTGGAGCTCCCTGTGGGGCCACGCAGCGCTGTTTTGGGTGTGGCGGACGCATGCGGGCACCCCCACTGAGGCCTTCGGTGGGGCTCCGTATGGGGCCACGGAACGCCGTACTGGGTGTGGCGGATGTATGTGGGCACCCCCACTGACGACTTCGGTGGAGATCCCTGTGGGGCCACAAAGCGCTGTACTTAGTGTGGCGGACGCATGCGGGCACCCCCAGTGGGGCCTTCGGTGGAACTACCTATGGGGCCGCGAAGCGCTGTACTGGGTGTGGCGGGCGCGTGCGGGCACCCCCCCTAGGGCGTTTTGTGGAGCTCCCTGTGGCGCCCACGAAACGCTGTACTGGGTACTCGGTGTGGCGGACGCACGCGGGCACCCCACACTGGGATCTTTTGTGGAGCTCCCTATTGGGCCACGAAGCGCCGTGCTGGGTGTGGCCGACGCATGCGGGCACCCCCACTGAAACCATCGGTGGGGCAACGAAGCGCTGTACTGGGTGTGGCGGACGCATGCGGGCCCCCCCCCACTGGGACCACCGGTGGAGCTCCGTATGGGCCCACGAAGCGCTGTACTGTGTGTGCCGGACGACTGTGGGCACTCCCACTGGGGCCTGCGGTGGGGCCCCCTGTGGGGCCACGGAACGTGCGAGGGGTGTGCCAAAGTGATGG